ATTTTGGTCACGCTCTACTTCAGGTTTTTGGCGTCCTTTTTAGCTGCTGTGTCAACGCATGGTAACATGATATCAAACTAGCCATGTACTTCCATGGCAACGTCCCCAAACACGCAAGAGAGTTTATACTGAACTTCATCAGTTGATCTGTTTTGATGACCGCCTCATTAAGCCATTCTTACATTACGTTGATTAACTAACATATGGTCGGTATGCCGTTTCAAATAGTTATATAAACAAACCTACACTATTTTCACGGAGTAACCATTTTCATACTCCGAGAATAGAAACCGGTGCATATTATACGATTATCACAGTACACTAGCTTTGAAAAAGCACGGTATGCTTGTGTTTTTGAGGGGCGGTGGGGACTGTAGACTAGTGGTTAAAGCGTTCGCTCGTCACACCGAAGGCCCGGGTTCGATTCCCCGCATGGATACAATATGTGAAGCCCATTTCTGGTGTCCCCCGTCTTGATATTGCTGGAATATTGCTAAAAGCGGCATAAAACTAAACTCACTCACCCACTGTGTTTGTGACAGGTGCCAACCATGGGTCATGGGCAATTGAAAAGAGAATCAAATGCAATTCAAATGCAATTGAAGACTAGTATCATTTTCTTCTTGTATGCCCTAACTACAGTAAGCCTCGAAGCAAATACATATGAGAAAAATGTCCATCTAAACAGGCTTAAGTTTTCACTACTGCTAAACGGTTCAAATACTAAAGAAACTGAAACCTGTCCATGTATATTTTCTACGCATTTGTACATAGAAAGCGTATTGTTCCTTGCACGTGTATAAAGCAATGTATATAGTGTAGTATAGGCCTGAGGCCTTTTGAGTACCGCAATAAAGATTGATTGACAGAGAATTATAAATAAGCATCGTACACGACAAAGTTTTTATAAGAAATTTCTTATAATTATGGAAATGGTTTTGTCGATTATATTTTCAGACTGTAGCTTTCGAGAGCTTAAAACGTTTGATTCGTTATTGCAGGAAGTAAAGAGTCTGGAAAACAGCTTAACTAGGCCCTGTGAGGCTGAAAGACTGTAACACGTGCAGGTGCTGTAAAAGTCACACAGTTTTATCATCAAAGTTGTCTGTAAAATAGAATATCATTAACAATAAAAGTTTGTTTTCCGATGGGAATGTGTCGTTATCGTTTTATTGCTAGCGTATTAGGCAATTGTGATGAATACGTAAGTTCACGTTAGCCAATGTTAGTACCGTTCTCAGTGTGAATGTGTGTTGGTTTGACTCGTTCTGCAGCCCTTACAGTACTGTCTGTTTGACGTATTAGCTGAAACCATCACGACAGACTGAGTTGTATACTCGTTTCAGCAGGATTTACACACCGACCGCTAATTTAGTGCCATTTGTAACAAACTGTTCTTTCGAAAAGTAGCATACATTTTACAGCTAATTAGACATTTAATAACCAAGTTTTGTATCTGAAAATGAAAGGCAAAGGTTGTTACAGCATATAACAATTACGTAATAATAATCGGTACAATTACGTACAAATAAGAGTTAATGCTCGATTAGACAAAGGGCATATGTATAGAATCAACCACAGTTACCACAGTAGATACCTAAACATATCATGCATGGGATAATTGGTAAACTACGAGACCCACATAGAAATATCTCACCTGAAGACACAAACATTTAAGAAGGCGCATTTATGATACAGTTTGGGCAGATATATCGAAGAAATGTTATTCCAGTTACATAGAAGGTGTGTGGGTGGGGGGGTGGGTGGGTGGTGGGTTTCGGGTTTGAGAGAGAGACAGCAAAGGTTTTGGCCATAGTCACAGATCAGTGCACGAACCTTTTCTGGAAGAGCTTCAAACAGGGCTAGAGTACTAATACTGACTGTATAACCAAAAGGAGCTCTCTTGGATTCTGGGGATAATTTCTGGTGTTGCTGAGGTCACAGACCTTCCAGGAAGGGGTCTTTTACAGGGCTTTAAACTCTGTTGCACTTACGGTGGTATATGGAGGATGATCTCACCGCGTAATTCGATATTTAGTTGCTGTGAGTTTGGGTGTGAAGAAAAACATTACTCGCGTTCATTTTATGAAGCTGGGGTCATAGTGTGTTGTGTGGTAGAACCTAACATGTGCATTATTGCGTATAGATAGGAGAGTTAGCGTAGGTGATGACATGACATGAATATACCAAACATGACTCTAATACACGTTCTGAAATGCTAGACTGACCATCCCTTACATCAGAGCAGGAAAACATACAACAATTTCTCCAGTATGGAGTGGCCTTTCGTTTTTTCCATGTTACAGTCGAAATTTGTTTTTAAGTATAGGTATACGGTTCTAGCCTCTACAGGGGATGCTTCTTCTGTAGCTATATACCCTGTCCCCACAATTCAGAGAAGTGGCATGAATACCAGTCCAGCAACTACGTGAGGACTGTTTGTTAGAATTGTACCAAAACACCTGTCCTGGTTGTTAGTGGCGACCAAACAAATATGGGCTTCAAGCTCGATGTCATCCTGACGCGACAGCCCTGAGCTCTGCTCACAATATCGATCACTGGTTTGTTTGATCCAGTTTCGAATATCTACAGTCCGCCATTTGGCTTGGATAAGGTTGAGTGTGACTTTAAACGCCAAACTCAAACTACTTCACCAAAATTGCGCATGTATGCCACATACTAATCCAGACAGTTACACATGTTATATTTGGGATTACATATCCGGCAGTTAGTGTTGAGGAAACTCTGGCTGTGTGTTTAAATGGTGACGGTAGGGGTGCAATAAGTTGTCTTTACACTGTGTGAAAATTGTACTTCAGCTGCCAAATGTAATACATCCTATCAGGCCTGTTTTATATTCAAAGCCATTGGCCAATATTCTAGGCACATAACTTAACAATTGGCAATGCTAGAGGTACCAGTCACTGATACGTTGAAATAATGTATAATTAATCCATATATTCCTACAATGCTTGTCTATTTTCTGTAACACGTCCCTCCGTTAATTTGTGGATCGTTGTGGACAGACTGAAGAAGGGTTTCCTCTGTTGCTGTGTCATCAACTATACACGCATGAAATGCAAAACACGCATTGTATAATATGAAATGCATTGTAACCTATTTGTGTAGCTACAGGCCCTGGTCGTATTAAATATCGGGCTAAACTTTATGGAATATGATTTGTGAAACAAACAGCGTTAATACACACATGTTTTTATGCTCATCTTCACAGGAATACAGAGCAAACAGGATTTCAACATGTACAGATTCATTGATATCTAAAGTTATGTTCAAAGCAAACTCAACGAGTTCGCAACATACATAGATTCACTGATATGCGAGGTTTTCTACATAGCGGAGTAGGTTAGAAACATACATAGATTTATTGATAATGGCAAGCACTTTACAGAGCGCAGCAGGTTTGGACCATACATAGAATCATCGATGTGTGAAGGTTTGAAACATGATGCATTGATAGGAGAGGTTAGCAGGCTTGCAACATATATATATATATATGTATATATATGACCCAGGTTGTATCTGGTCCTCCCCACTCAGGTCTTATGTCAAACAGAGGGTGATGTAACCTGTTGTATCCTGGTCCTCCCCACTCAGGTCTTATGTCAAACAGAGGGTGATGTAACCTGTTGTATCCTGGTCCCACCCAGTCAGTATTTATGTCAAACAGAGGGTAATGTGACCTGTTGTATCCTGGTCCCACCCAGTCAGGATTTATGTCAAACAGAGGGTAATGTAACCTGTTGTATCCTGGTCCCACCCAGTCAGGATTTATGTCAAACAGAGGGTGATGTGACCTGTTGTATCCTGGTCCTCCCTAGTCGGGTCTTATATCAAACAGAGGGTGATGTGACCTGTTGTATCCTGGTCCTCCCTAGTCAGGTCTTATATCAAACAGAGGGTGATGTGACCTGTTGTATCCTGGTCCTCCCTAGTCGGGTCTTATGTCAAACAAAGAGTGATGTAACCTGTTGTATCCTGGTCCTCCCTCGTCAGGTCTTATGTCAAACAGAGGGTGATGTAACCTGTCGTATCCTGGTCCCACCCAGTCAGGATTTATGTCAAACAAAGGGTGATGTAGCCTGCTCTGTCCCGTTACTAGATTGTCGGTTTCTACGTCAAGCATTGAAGGAATCTATTTTATTGTAGACCATACAACTTCTCAGTTCTTACGTCAAGCATCAGGTTCAGGCTACATGCTCTTTCCTTTCACCAGGTTTGAAAGCAATACGCACTATACTTCCATTCATACTGATTCTATAAAACTGTTTTAAAAACACAGAAACATTCGATCGGTATATAATAAGGTTACAATGACACCAAAATCCGGCCTGCTTCTCTAGACTTGGCGCAGTATCACGTCCCCTTTGCTGACGTTTTGATACGATATAAGATACACCTCTCCAGTGTCAGAGACCAATACGCAATGTTTAAATTATTACACTGTCCATACACATGCAGGCCCCATGTGATCTCCATTTGTGGCTTTGGGCCTTTGAGCCTCCATTGTCAACGCACTGGTTCCAGCCACACGTCCCCGAGTGACCCCACACTGTAACTTTCCATTGACAGTGAGTACTGTTGATTCAGCATAGTGAGAATGCATGGGAGTGTATGACTCTGATAGTGAAAATATTTACAGTGCGAGTAATGTTGTTTGTGGGGTGTTTGTCAACCACGACCTTACCGAGTCAAAACGGTACGAGTTTTAAGCAATGGCCCTTAGAGGCGTCCCTGGTGACTTGCAATTAATCTCTAAGTCAGATTTATGCCTGAATGTGTATCTTTTGTGGCGTAATTCATACTTCTATCTAACAGAGTGCTTCCGCAGAATCCAATTATCCCAAATATTATTTCTGAAACATAATTGCAAATATTCAGCGATATACCTACCAAATGTACACTAAAGTATAACCTTATGTTACTGTTGCAATGAAAATATGTCACATGTCCTATATCAAGGGAGGTGGTGTATACAAGTAGTTACAGCGTTCACTCGTCAGGCCGAAGTGCCGGGTTCGACTCTCCACCTGGGTACAATTTATGAGGCCCATTTCCTGTGTAGCTCGCTTTATGTTGTTGGAATATTGGAGGTCACACACACAGATACGCACACGCACACACACACGCACACACATATTAATCATTTTGACGTTGTCTATAAGGTTGCCTAGTACTAATGCATCCGACTAGTCGTGTATTTGATATATGTCTTGTTGTACATTATGTGGCTTATTGTCTATAAACAACTCACTAAAATCAATAAATCTACACACGTTAATGCGTAGGGAAATACAGGCAATAAACACGAAATGGCATGTACGAAAATATGTATACTAAATCATACCTATAAATACAGTATATATAACAGCGTAGAAACGGAATAATATATTTAGCTGTTGTAAAGATAAGGAAACTAATTTAAAACTTGAATTGATTTGATTTTGATAAGTGAATACCTCACACTGAACCAAAACAACATTATTTTAGGAATGGATGCAGGGACTTTTTATTTCCTTTGCAATTACAGTTGGCTCTGTTTATATTTTTGGCATTCACATTGCATCTTTAGTTTAAAAATGCATTTAACATGTTTTCTTGGTTTATAGTTAATGATTCGCTGACAATGATAAACGACTTGCCCACCTGTCGCAAGCATTGTAATGTATGCCCGATTATATGAATAGTGCATGTACGTATTTCCCATAAATTATCTATTAAGGATTTTTTAAAAACTATAATCGCCCTTGCAGGCGAGTTATTCAGGCAACCAGAGCCCGGACTAGGTTTTACTTTGTCCGGGGTACATCGAGCATATGTCGAGGTATATATTTTGCATAATAGAAGTGCACTTTATCGTCTCATAGAATATAATACCGACACCCAGTTTAACGACTGGTGTTTTGTTGAGGAATGATCGTACTAGGAAGTAACACAACAGTGACGGTGAAATTCACTCCAACAGTGACAACAAATTAAACCCGACAGAAACAAGAACCCCAACAGGACGAAGAAGCAAACAGGCCAAAAGCAACAGAAAACAAACTGACCAACAGTAACCGAAATCAATTTGGCAAACTGCAACAGAAAACAAATAGACCAACAATAGCAGAAAACCAATGGGCCAAAAGCAACAGAAAACAAATAGGCCAACAGTAACAGAAAACAAATAGGCCAGCAGTAGCAGAAATCAAACAGGCCAACAGTGCCAGAAAACAAACAGGCCAACAGCAACAGAAACAAATAGGCCAGCAGTAGCAGAAATCAAACAGGCCAACAGTGCCAGAAAACAAACAGGCCAACAGCAACAGAAACAAATAGGCCAGCAGTAGCAGAAATCAAACAGGCCAACAGTGCCCGAAAACAAACAGGCCAACAGCAACAGAAACAAATAGGTCAGCAGTAGCAGAAAACAAACAGGCCAACAGTGCCAGAAAACAAACAGGCCAACAGCAACAGAAACAAATAGGCCAACCGCAGCAGAAAACAAATAGACCAACAGCAACAGAAAACCAACATGCCAACAGCAACAAAAAAACAAATAGGCCAACAGCAGCAGAAAACAAATAGACCAACAGCTACAGAAAACCAACAGGCCAACAGCAACAAAAAAACAAATAGGCCAACAGCAGCAGAAAACAAATAGGCCAACTGTGCCAGAAAACAAACAGGCCAACAGCAACAGAAACAAATAGGCCAACCGCAGCAGAAAACAAATAGACCAACAACAACAGAAAACAAATATGCCAACAGCAGCAGAAAACAAATAGGCCAACAGTAACAGAAACAAGTAGGCCAACAGCAGCAGAAAACAAATATGCCAAGAGTAAAAGAAAACAAATAGGCCAACAGTAATAGAAAACAAACAGGCCAACAGCAACAGAAAACAAATAGACCAACAGCAACATAAAACAAATATGCCAACAGCAACAGAAAACAAATAGGTTAACAGTAACAGAAAACAAACAGGCCAACAGCAACAGAAAACAAATAGGCCAACAGCAACAGAAAACAAATAGGCCAACAGCAACAAAAAACAAATAGGCCAACAGCAACAGAAAACAAATAGGCCAACATTAACAGAAATCAAACAGGCCAACAGTGCCAGAAATCAAACAGGCCAACAGTGCCAGAAAACAAACAGGCCAACAGCAACAGAAACAAGTAGGCCAACAGCAACAGAAAACAAATAGGCCAACAGTAACAGAAAACAAATAGGCCAACAGTAACAGAAAACACACACACAAAAAAAGCAACAGAAAACAAACAGGCCAACAGTAACAGAATACACATAGGCCAACAGTAACAGAAATCAAACAGGCCAACAGTACAGAAAACAAATAGGCCAACAGCAACAGGCCCATGTACGGTAACCGCCTACTTAATCTTTCAAGGACTCTTCGGGATAAAAGCACATACCGATGGTGTTATGTATTCCATACTGTTAAACGATCTTCAGCGTTAAAGAAGTGTTTATCTTGTGTAGCGTGAATGAAATAACAAGCAGGGTTTTGGGTTTTGTTGTAACACAGGGCATGCTTACTGCATCAAGTCTAATTGAGTCTAATTACGTACTCACCAAGTAACCCGCTCACTCATTCACTCTTTCAGTAATCCAGTGATTCACTATACCAACCACTCACCAACTCAAACCCCTGAGACACCAAATATACCGTTCAACAGCTCATTCACTAAATAGACTATTCAATGAATCACTTGCTCACTCCCTCATTCTGTCACCAACTCAACACTCGAACAGCACACCAACCGTACACATGAACATTCGCCTAGAAGCAGTTTTGTCAATACTATTCAAAGTTGACTTGGGGTCATGTTTTGATGACATAAAAATTTGAAACAAATACAAATTTAAACACCCCGGTGTACAATGATACTGGAAATCCTCATTTTCATGACGAACATGGTCACGATGTTTGAAAAACTTGTGTTTGGATGTATCGTGACAGAATCATTGAGCACCATTAACAGAGAACATAACAACATGATGAGGATATCACTATCACTGTTTGCATTGGCAGGACATGGAATCAATACCAGACATCTGACTCAACTACCCGGCGACACTTTGGGTAACAGCGTTCCACCACACAGCTGGAGCACAGGTTTCTCGTGGTTGCAGCCGTGACTGTCACCACACTCAGAAATGACCTGCGGACCAGCAGCTTGAACGTTTTGGCTGGAATAGGGGACGGGGCCAGTACGTTTCATGGATGAGTCGAGAGACTGTCTAAACTTATTCCGGGTTAGGCATCGTCAAGAAAATTTCAAAGTTCAAACGTAGCTGAACATGGCCGATATGGACGGGGTTCATAATTAGGGATTGGATCAGTAGCACTGGATAACGGTTGACAGGTATGTACCGCCGCCGGGAATGTCTGAATGTGCATACGCGCTACTGAACGTTGGTTAGTTTTGGGCAATGAATGTGTTTCTGTGAATTTCGACATTTCAAGTTTCACCAGACACTTTGACTTTTAAGGAGGGATCTGATTATTGGACATGAAATTTTAGGATATGATATCGGCCATACGTTCGATAAACAAGTCTTCATGCAATATTGTTTGAGGGTACATTAACAGATGCATTGCATTTCAATGCGGTGATCCTTAGTAAACTTTGAGTAGTATACAAACCTTCTGTTTACACCTTGTAAATATACACCTACCACCTTTCATACATCGAACAGGAAGCAAATGGATGCTTGCGATAATCTCGTGTTGTTGTGTTTATTAAGTTGCGGGTCGCCACCTATTTCAATGACACATATAACATATATCATGTGACAATCGGCTTCAAACATTCAGGCTGCCGTGTGTCAACCTGACCTTCGACAGGACTGAAATCGGCCAGTATCGGCATTTTCCGTATGAAGTTATCATGCCGATAACAGGCTGATGCAAATAGAGGAAATTTACTTCCGACATAGAGGATGTTTAACTAGGACTGCCGCGACCTCTTGTAGATTGTGAGGAACAAGTGTTTAACATACAACGTCAGGGATAACAGTTACAGATGTCGAGTAAAATGTCATATGATACAAAAAGCTATCAAAGCTGTATGAAAATGACTCATCTGTTGAATGGACTAATTAAAATACTCCTGTTAAATATAACCCATCGCTGTGACGAACTGGAAGAGTGAGTTAAGTGAGATTATTTTTAGCAATATTCCAGCAATATCATGGCGTCACACATTGCATCCTTGAAGGGATTCAAACCCGGGTCTTCCATGTGACTAGCGAACGCTTTAACCACTAGGCTACCCCAGCGCCCCACGAACTGGAAGAATTGTATAAGCACAACAACATACTTCGTGGTGATTTGTTACCTGATTGAGAGTGCTTGAACTGATACTGAGGAAAAACATTTAACACCACACTTAGTCATATTCCAGCTATATAATGGCGGTCTGTAAAAATCAATTCTGGACCAGACAATCCAGTGACTGACACCAAGAGCATCGGCCCAATTGTGATACTATGACATGTGTCAACCAACTCAGCGAGCCTGACCACCCGATCCCGTTAGTCGCCTCTTAAGACAAGCACGGGTTGATGAAGGCCAATTCTAACCCGGATCTTTACGGGTGTCTGGCTTCCTGACACGGCAGAAGCTATGTCCTGTTCTAGATTCACAGTAGTTTTGAATTACCAGGTGTTTTATATCCGCGATAAGCCCCTTGGGTGTACCGCAATGTATTGTTATAGTTGGGTCATGTTTCATGTCATTACATACAGTCGCCATTACGATTGTTAAAAGGGCTTTATAATATTAGGAGTTCACAACACCCGGTGGGTACAGGATCTGTTTGCGCCTCAGTTGGTAACCACAACACTGGTATATAGATAACTTTGGAGTAATTAAAATGCAAAGCGACTGTTTGTACGTGCCCAGTGGTGACCATGGGTGGTGATATTAGTACCAGTGCTAACGTAAGTCAAACGTAACAAGCGGCTCCTCAGCGTGTGGTATAGACAGATGTACCTAGTCAAATTGTTGTGGATAAGATTCGGTTCATTCGGTATACGTTCCCTCTCTTTCTTTTGTCCTTTGTTCGTTTCACCCCCTCTCAGTCTCCTTTATTATCTCCACATGCCGAACTCACTCACTCCCCACCCTCAGGGGCGGTGGGGTAGTCTGGTGGTTAAAGCGTCTTGCCGAATACCCGGGTTCTATTCCCCACATGGTTACAGAGTGAAGCCATTTCTGGTGCCCCCCGCCGTGATATTGCGGGAATGTTGCTAAAAGCGGTGTAAATCATACTCACACATCTTAAATCACTCACCCAACTTCAGACGCGTCTACTCACATCTCTCTCGCCTCTCTGTCATGCTTCCTGCTCCTCTTCACCCTCTCCACCCGCTCTCACTCTGACTACTATCCTCCTCACCATCTCCACCCGCTCTCCCTCTGACTAATATCCTCCACACCGTCTCCACCCGCTCTCCCTCTGACTACTATCCTCAACACCCTCACCCTCTCTCACTCTGACCACTATCCTCCTCACCCTCTGACTACTATCCTCCTCACCCTCTCTCACTCTGACCACTATCCTTCTGACCCTCTCCACCCGCTCTCACTCTGACTACTATCCTCCTCACCCTCTCCACCCGCTCTCCCTCTGACTACTATCCTCCTCACCCTCTCCACCCGCTCTCACTCTGACCTACTATCCTCCACACCGTCTCCACCCGCTCTCCCTCTGTCTACTATCCTCCTCACCATCTCCACCCGCTCTCACTCTGAATACTATCCTCCACACCGTCTCCACCCGCTCTCCCTCTGATCTACTATCCTCCTCACCATCTCCACCCGCTCCTCCCTCTGTCTACTATCCTCCTCACCCTCTCCACCCGCTCCTCTCACTCTGACCACTATCCTCCACACCCTCTCCACCCGCTCTCCTCTGTCTACTATCCTCCTCACCATCTCTCCACCCGCTCTCACTCTGACTACCATCCTCCACACCGTCTCCACCCCGCTCTCCCTCTGACTACTATCCTCCCTCACCCTCTCCACTCCACCCTCTCTCCCTCTGACTACTATCCTCCACACCGTCTCCACCCGCTCTCACTCTGACCACTATCCTCCTCACCGTCTCCACCCGCTCTCACTCTAACCACTATCCTCCACACCGTCTCCACCCGCTCTCACTCTGACCACTATCCTCCTCACCGTCTCCACCTGCTCTCCCTCTGACTACTATCCTCCACACCATTCTCCACCCGCCTCCCTCTGCCTTACTACTATCCTCCTCACCCCTCTCCACCCGCTCTCCCTCTGACTACTATCCTCCCTCACCGTCTCCACCCTGCTCTCACTCTGACTACTATCCTCCCCACCCTCTCCACCCGCTCTCAATCTGACTACTACCATCCACACTGTCTCCACACTGATGAGCCTCCGCTCTGATCCCCTCTGTCTACTATCCTCCTCACCCTCTCCACCCGCTCTCCCTCTGACTACTATCCTCCTCACCGTCTCCACCCGCTCTCCCTCTGTCTACTATCCTCCTCACCGTCTCCACCCGCTCTCACTCTGACTACTTTCCTCCTCACGCTCTCAACCTGCTCTCCCTCTGACTACTATCCTCCCCACCCTCTCCACCCGCTCTCACTCTGACTACTATCCTCCTCACCGTCTCCACCCGCTCTCATTCTGACCACTATCCTCCTTACGCTCTCCACCCGCTCTCCCTCTGACTACTATCCTCCTCACCCTCCCTCAACCCTGCCTCCTCACTCTGTCCACTATCCTCCCCACCCTCTCCACCCTGCTCTCACTCTGACTACTATCCTCCTCACCCTCTCAACCTGCTCTCACTCTGACCTCACTATCATCCTCCTCTCCCACCCTCTCCACCTGCTCTCTCCTCTCCGCCTCTCCACCTCCTCCTCACTCTCCACTATCCTCCCTCACCCTCTCCACCCGCTCTCACTCCTATCTCACCCTCTCCACCCGCTCTCCACTCTGACTACTATCCTCCCCACCCCTCTCCACCCGCCTCCCTCTGACTCCACTATCCTCCTCACCCTCTCCACCCGCTCTCACTCCTGACCACTATCCTCCACTCACCCTCTCCACCCGCTCTCACTCTGACTACTATCCTCCTCACCCTCTCCACCCGCTCTCACTCTGACTACTATCCTCCTCACCCTCTCCACCCGTTCTCACTCTGACTACTACCCTCCTCACCCTCTCCACCCGCTCTCACTCTGACTACTATCCTCCTCAATCTCTCATTCTTTCTCACTCGCTTATATTTTTATCCAGGTCGAACCTGGCTCGGGATTCTTATCTACACAACCCAATAGCCCCATCTGTGACCTGTAAACACTTTAGGCAATATATTTCAGACACGGAAGTTAATCATTATGCAGAATGAAGATAACGACAAATGTGACTTTATATGGCTTTAATTTCAATGTACAAGGATAAAAGTTCATTTTGGTCCAGGAACTGTTATTGCCACCATGTACAGGCGTGTTTACATAAGTATTACATTTAACGCTCATGTATTTTGTAGTCGTTTAAGAGTGTGCACAGAAGTCTAAGGCGCCAAAAGTCTCTGCAGGGTGGCGTCCCTTTGGTGTATCAGAATCTTGTGATCGGGAATTCGAAACAAGTTTCAATCGGTTAAGTTTAAAGGTTATACAGCACAATGCCGGTGCTCGAGGGTATCACAAAAGCGGTAAACATAATAATAAACAAACATGCATCACTTCAAGCTTCCCAACCATACGAAGGTGTCATGCCATGATATAACTGTAATGCCTGTTTAAAGAGGCGTTGAACCCACACACCCACTCACTGGGTCGAAAATTGCTTTGCAAAATATGTCACTTACATTATTATGATGGTTTGATTAACGATTTGTTCCTGTTACATTCTGACCGATTGCAAGTGGTTAAAGCTCTCCCGCGAAGACCCGGGTTCAATTCCCCACATAGGTACATAATGTGAAGCCCATATCTTCCTGCACCGTACTATTGCTGGAATATTGCTAACACCTCACTTAACCTCCAAACCTTAAAGGTGCATGTTCTTATTGCACAAACTTATCCTTTATAGTATTGTACCCCCATTGTGTCTTTATAAACACTGCTGACCTACATTATATATGATTCAGAATGGCTCTCGTTAAAGATATGTATGCAGTGAAAACAATGATCATATGTCTGAGTTGAATATCAAATGATTCAGCCGGGGACTGTAGCAAAGGATGGTATACCTCATTGCTAGTTACAGCACGTGGGTGACATGAACTGCATTGTTTGGTCCTGGTAGTACACCCCCATCTGATTTATTTTCATATTCCTCTGGCTTGGTTCAGCATGGCTTTATGTATGCAAATAAACCCAATCCTGAAACCCAATGCGCAGGTTTTTTAAACTCAGCTCTAAACAGGAAGTATATCGAATCCAGCAGACAAATAGCTATTCAGCCCTAGTGGGAATTTCATAGACATACATTATCCGAGGGAATTGAATATACTGCCATGAACGATACATTAACATAGGTTTTAAAACCATTTGGTGAATATACATGTATGCAAACGTCAAATCTCATGGGGAGTGCATTTGTGTAACACGCCCAAATGTTTATTCAATAAATATTCCATAGTCTACGGAATTTCATGGGAATTGCCATGTTGTACGTTTCTCACAGCATGAACAAACATTATACCCATTCATGTGAGATAATATTCATCGAACTACATTCAATAACATGGGGATGTTCTTGTACATAAATGTATAACCTATACGTCATCATAAGCACATCAGTGTTCTGTGAATCTATTCTTCTAGATACCAATCTTATCAGCACATAACTGCCTTTCACGACACACTTCCAACTTTAAACTGGCTCTGGCCTTGCGGTTACAGCGTTCGCTGGTTACGCCGAAGATCCGGGTTCGTACAGCATGTGTGAAGCATATTTCTGGTGTCACCCGCAGTGGTTTTGCTGTTGAAAGCGTCGTAAAACCAAACACACTCACTCATTATATGACGTCAGCGTCAGAGAATACAAAGTCTCTGTTACTTTAGCCGTGTAAAATTAAATATAGATGTGTATCCAAATGTAGTTAGTACAGATGACTATGACAGGTGCAGAACTAAGTTGTCGCCATGTCATTTCATATACAATTCTGTATATTAGAAGTGTGCACTCGATACCCTACAATTACAACACTCTACATCGTGTACCTAGCTCTGTGATGGCTCCTACAAGCCTGTACCAAGAGCTTAAACATGTCAGTACATAATAATACACTAATGTGCTTGTCTTGCATGTCGTTGTGTTTATCAAAACAAAGTGATACAATATTCAGATTATCAAGTATGAAATGCTTATATGTGATTTTGTTTTACAATTGCTCTTTGCTCTGTTATTAAAGTAAAATTTTCCTTACCATCTTGTGACGTTGATACGAGCGATATGATAGTATCTGGAGACGAATCTTGACTTCATTCACCAAAGGGGTAGGGGTGGGAAGTAATGATATTATTAAGTACGTTTCATACATTTCATGAAAGAGTGAGTATCGTTTTACGACGCACTTAGCAATATTCCAACAATATAACGGCGGGGATAAACCAGATATGGTCTCCACGCGGTGTACCCATGTGGGGAATTAAACACGGATCTTCGGCATGACGAAAAAAACACTGGGCTACCCCACTGCCCACACTTTTTATGTAGCCTGCTGAACATGAACATGCCATCAGTAGAAGTCACCAACATCGCTATTTCGCCAATCGTTTATAGTTATCTGTTATAATATATATTATCAAATATACGTTTCACCCGTCCATGGTACGACAGAAGGGCTTCATGGAAAATGACAATTGTAATTTTCTTTGGAAAAGACGTATCCAAGCCAACAAACTCGACCTCTTTTTTTGATAAAACAAATGGAATTATTTAAATGATTGAATAATTGCCTCATCCAACATACTCAGGGCACATATGCAAGTATGGTGGTATGGAATACATGAATCTGAAGACAGATAACTGCAGCATTGCAATACCAGATACACTACAAATCATCACAGTGTGCAACAATGACTGTACCAGATGTTTGTGAAACTCGATATAATTCACATTATGGAACACGTTGCATGCC